TTTTTTTTTTTTTTTTTTTTTTTTTTTTTTTTTTTTTTTTGGACTCAGACCCATGTGCGCCGAATGGGTGATATGAAAAAACATGTTGAGAGGTGTGATATAAAAAATAATAATAATAAGAAGAGAAGGGGAAATATATTATAAAAAAAAAATATATATATATAGATATTAAAAGAAAAGAAAAGTGTAACGTGGGTGGTGTGCATGTGAAAAAGGTGAGTGAAAGGCAAAGAAAAAATGGATTAAAAATAAATAAAAAAAAGGGGAAATGAGTTCAAAAGGGGGCACGGGTAGTGGGAAATATGAGTGGAGTGAGTATTGGATATAATAAGAATAATAATAATAAGAAAAAAAAAAGAAAAAGCTAGACCACGTGGGTCATGTCGCCAAGGTGATATAGTGATTCACTATCTTTCGCAGATGATGTTGCCAAGACAACACTAACGGACAAAACACGAAGAAGAATATGCTGTTCTCGAAACAGAAGTGCAAAATCCAACTCCAGAGACTCAACAGCGAAAACTATGAGGACCTGAAGAATGTCTGCTACACGTCTTGAGCTTCACGGGGTGGGAGTTCATGCGGTGATGGAAGAGTGAGGAGGGTGAAGGAGGAAAGATGCGAAAGAGATCTGGAGCGCTGAGATAGATGAAGTCGGAGAACATGGTCGGCATGCGCGAGTTTGGACGTCTGTCACGCCTTCGCGCTCGAGTATGCTCGAATCTCTAAGGTCGCTAGGCTGAAGTGAAGCAGCAATGGTGAGTAGCAGCTTGGATCACACGGCTGCGGCGGTCGCGACGTCTGCGGCAGCCGGAGCTGGGACAGGTCCACCGTCCGATCTAATCATGTCCTTGGACAGTTCAAAGTAATCCTTCAAGCTCAACCGTTGATCTTCCGGCATAGCCTCCGAGCTATCGCTGCGTTTGGATACGGTGGCCGCCGCATGCAACCTTCCGTTGTCGGAGACGGTGAAAGCCGGTGGCTGAGTCGGCGTAACAGTCGCCGACACCGGAACTTTCTGTTTGAATTTGAATCTCCCGGCGGCCGGCGAGAGAACGGCTGAGAAAAGTCCTGCTCCGGTGGCCGCCGCCATGAAGTTATCTCTCTCTCTTGTTTCGGACAGTTTTCGGATTTATTGATTGGGCAATGATGGGAAGGTATGTGTAGAAAATAAGCAGAATAGGTTGAGGTCCGGCGGGCAGCTAAGGTAAGGTTGCCGCCCGCCGGGGAAGCGAAAATATTAGGTTCTAAATCTGCTCTGATACCATGTAAAAATAAATTGAGATGTATATTATTGATTGATTTGTTATTATGTTGTTGTATATTACAAATGGTGAGTGGCTCATTATATAGGAGAGGGTGAGTGTAGTAGGTGAGGAGTAGGTGAGGAGTAGGTGGTGGTAGGTGATGGTAAATTGGTGGTAGGTGATGGTAAATAAATTCTAACAGATTTTATAAAATTTGTAGAATCCACATTGGGAATAAATGAAGAAAAATAGTGAAAGTTGTTCTATAAATGTCTTCCTCTCTGATTTTTATTACAAATAGTATATTATTAGCCACTTATCTTCTAATCCTCAAAGAATTAAAATATAAATGTATTTGTTCATATGGTTTTAAAGGATTTTATAAAATTTGTAGAATCCACATTGGGAATAAATGAAGAAAAATAGTGAAAGTTGTTCTATAAATGTCTTCCTCTCTGATTTTTATTACAAATAGTATATTATTAGCCACTTATCTTCTAATCCTCAAAGAATTAAAATATAAATGTATTTAAATATAATATTTCATTCGATTTGGTTTGTATCGGTGTCAAAAATTCCAAAACCGAAATAGACCGTATGTTATGAAAAATAGACCAAAAACCAAAATTCAGTCAATCCTGTGCAGGCGGTTTGGTTACATTAGTTTTTCTTACACTACTAATGTCATGCATGCCTGAACCTCCCCAATTGAGCTGGCTTGCTATCGAAAATCCATGATTTGCTTGTATACAACGATAGTCAGAATTTTTTACTGAGATAATGAACAGATACTGAGACCTTTTTGTGATGATAAACTTGGGAAGGGCAGAAAACAAAGATGGTCACTCTTCATAGGTTAAATTCCTGCTTGCCACTTGGAAGGTTTAGTTCCCTTCCCAACCTGCCTGCTCAATCAATCTTGTAAGAAAAGCTAATTCAAAGGGATTATTAATCTCCCTGAGGTCATCACTGAAGAAGGGTGCTTGAATTTTTGGAGTTAGATCAGTTTCAACCAGTTGCTCTTTCATTATTGCTTTGGCAATAAATAAAAATAGAGGCAACAATGCCACCCTACTTAGATCCCCACTATGCTACTTCAGTAATGGGAGGAACAAATAACCTGTAATAAAGCTTTCTAAATGAGACTGAAGGCATTTTAAGGGCCTTTCTCTGGTCTGGGGCAGAGCTTAAACAGTCAGTGGCAAAAGTCAATTGGATTTCTGTTTGTGCTCTTAAGAATGAGGGTGGCCTAGGTATCAGATCATTGAAAGATTGGAATAAAGCTGCAATGCTTAGGCATCTTTGGGTATGTTGAGTAAGAATGACTCCTAAGAATGAGGGTTGCCTAGGTATTCAGGATGTTGTGTCGTGTTTGGGGGTATGACATTTGTTTCTATAAATATTTTTGCTATCTTTCAATGATTTATTTGTACTTGCCAAAATAAATAATCTGAATATATGATTTCCACATTCTGGGCTCAGCTTCAACTCAAATTTTGGTCTGAAAAATTATAGCTTGCTGTAGCCTAAAATTGGCATGGTACAGCCTGCTTAGTTGTGTAGCTGGACGGTCAATCTCTGGACTACCAAGCACAGTCATAGAGGTGCATAGAATTCAGTTTCTTTATAATGAATCATAAGTGAGATTTCAAAGTTGTTTACTTCTTGTTAATCTTCTTCTCGTTATTGTAATTTAAGATTCTTATAATGCCTGTTTACTCTACATTTAATTTGATACAGACATTCCTGCGCCAAAAAATTGCTCTAGCTGCTTCTACTCCAGCTTCTGTACTGGGTAATGGAAGACATAAGAATCCTGACATGAAAAATGATCTCAACAATGTCCTCAACAAGAGCGGGGGTTTTCCTAACACAATTGGAGTTGATATTGTACATACAATGATGGAAACTGACGATGCTGGAGATACCAATCAATCTGAAATAGGAGGAATAGGGTCGCTGCGCTCGGGTTGTAGTACATTGAATGCATCCCATAGTTCTGAAAGCAAATTTGCACATAGCCTGCCAAAGGTCAAGGAGAATACTATGGGTTCTGGAGTTTTGCGTTATGCACTTCATCTCCGTTTTTTATGCCCTTTCCCTAAGAAATCTTCAAGGACAGTGCACAAGTGTAAATCTAATCCTCATTCTGCACCATCAACGACTAACATGGAGACTGAAAGTGAACGGCGCTTTTATTTGTATAATGATATGAGGGTAGTGTTCCCTCAACGTCACTCAGATGCTGATGAGGGCAAGGTAAGTGTAATACTGCAATCATATGCTTTAAAATGCTTCAACAAGTTTTTCTTGGCCTACTAGCAAGCTCAACTTTTCTTTGATTATTATGAGTTCAATATATTTTCTTTTGTGCAATCCTAATTTGTTGGTTAAGAATTTCTAGCATTTAAAATTCACTTTGCATTAATTTGGAATTTGGGTATTTGCTTTTAGTAAATTAATGAGTCATATACCATGAGCATCATTAATTGTTCAATTGTGTCTTTTGGAGAACCATTATTGGAAACATAGTTTTACTATGGAAATGCTATTGAACAAGCATTGTACACTTTATTCTAACAAAAACCTTCAAAAAATTGCAGTAGTTATCATATGCTTCATTTTTTGAAATTCTGATATACTAGTTTGATCTAAGGTGTCTTGTGCGAAATGCTTGTTTATTGTCAGAATATCAAATATTATAATCTTGAAAGATGATATTCATCAGAAACAATAATTGATGATATGTATGCTTCATTTATGTTTATAACACAGCTGATTTAGTACTTTATTTATGTTTTCGAGCATCACAGTCTGTGAGGCTGTGATTTTCCCATAGACTTGAGTTTTTCACCATTCGACTTGTGATTGTAATTAAACTATTGGTCTAACATGACACGCTCTTTGATTTGCAGTTAAATGTGGAATACCATTTCCCATCAGATCCGAAATATTTTGACATTAGCGACTAAAGGGTTCTTCTCCTCTCCTCTCTTTGCAGAATCCGGTGGTTGTGTACATATTCGGTATCCAGTTCTTGTGTACATACATTTGTACATGCATTTTCGTTTGTCATTTTAATTCTCAGACGGGGGACAAAGAACCCCCCATTTTCACCTGTAAAGAACACATTTTCAGTAAGGAATTCATTTTGTTAATTGTTTACTTCTTGTCACGACCCTGAATAAATTCTAGTACAAAACCTACAGTTGTTTTTTGTTTATAGAGAGCCAGAAACATATTTATGTTTATTTTTGTTATAAAAAAAAGAAAAGAAATATATTTGCTTTACACTTGCTTTCAAAACACAAACAAAAACGAAAAAATGGGATGCCTAGCGGGCAGGGGTGGCCAATAGGAAGTGGTTATGAGTTTTGAAGAGAGTTTTGAATTGTGTTTGGAATTTTTGACGTGGTAGGCTCTTTCCGTTTCAAAATATTAGCCTTTTATTCTATTTTTTATTGTTCCAAAATATTAGTTCATTTTCAAAAATTAAGTATAAAAATAATATAAATTTTTTATTTTTTATTTTTTTTTTAAATTTATTAACATAAAAAGTATAATTATGACATTGATATTCGTTAAAAAATGTACTATCAAAGGATAATTTTAAAAAATTAATTTTTTTAAAGTGTGATAATTGTACTATAAAAAAAAAGTTAGATTCTTTAAAAGGGACCATTATTTTGGGATAAAGGGAGTATGATATTTGATTTAAAAACTTAAAACTTATGACCGACAAAAAAAAAAAACTATTTCTGTTAACTGGTCGGACGTTCGGGAGGATGACTAAGTACATGTATTTTCAAAAGTGGGTGTGCAATTACGTTTCTAAAACTCAAACCGAACACAACGTTCAAATCAAGAACTGAAATCACATTTCTAGAGTTCCACCACACACAAACCTTACTTTCTTTTGGTTTCTTAAAATGTTATAAATTTTAAAAGTTATTTATATTTTTTACAAACGAAAATAATTGTCAAAGTTTTTTTCGTTTATACTTAAAAAAACAATAAATATTATGGTTACCAAACATAAGTGTTTAAATAATTCTGTTTGGTGGGATTTGGCTATAGGATTGGATTTGATGTCAAAGAAAGGGTGTTGCTATTAACATTTTATCAATTATTTTGAATCTTCTATTTTTAATTTTATTTTTATTACAATAATAACCTTAAATAGAATTACTAAAAATGACATAAAAAATTTTAAGACACCTCATCTCACAATTAAGTCAACACATCCACTACATCATGAGTTAGGATTTATGAGACCATCCACCTCCATCTTCCCCAAATCCCATATTTAAAACCTACCCACGCTTAAAATCTTGAAAACCCTTTGGAGGTAATAATCTGGCAGCAATGGTGGTAATCATTTAATTACATACACTTCTCTGGCAATGACAATGATTATAAAGTTTTTCGACAACCACAACTCTACGAGATGAGATGAGTACAATAATAAAAGCTCAGTAGAGGTTCATAACTGGGATGGTGTTTTTAGCTCAGAGAAGAGTGAACTTGTAAAGTTAAGTTTCTTGAAAAATATGACAAAAATAATAAAAGCTATTCGTTATTTTTTCGAGACTAAACTCTCGAGCATATGATCGAAATTCGGGAACACAGGTCCGAATATTGTTTATTTGTTCAGGAAAAGGTAACTGAACCTTATTTGTTCGGAAACAGATAACCGAAGCAGTAGCAAAAGCAAGCAAACAAAGGAGGTCGGTGTTAGATAATGTCTCAATGGGACCACATAATTAAATGTGGTGTTATCATTTATAAGAAGCCTACAATTTAAGTGATTCAATTTAGTTAATAGGCTTAAGGGTATATGTGTTATGGACCTAATGTGTAGATACTAGTTGTATAATTCCTATTTCTACGAGGGGCAGAAATAGAAATTAAAACATATTGGTTAAAGTTGGTTTTCATTCCTTTTGAACTTCCACAACCAATTACAACCTTTAAAAGGTTATGATCCCTATTCCTTCCCAAGTGGAAATAAGAACACTGCCATTTTTTTCTAGAAGCCATGAATGAAGAATATAAGTCTATGCAAGACCACGTAAGTTATATTGTGACAATAAGTCTGCAGTTTTATATTCCAATAACAACAAGAGCTCGACAAAATCAAAGCATATTGATATCAAGTTCCTAGTTGTAAAAGAAAGAGTGCAGAGTGGACAGATTTCCATAGAGCACATTGGGACAAACTCCATGATAGCGGATCCACTTACGAAGAAACTACCACCCAAGGTCTTTCATGAGCACACTGCTCAGATGGGTGTTGTTCTATTTGAGAACATTCTAGTTTAGTGGGAGTTTGTATTTATATTACTGCTTTATGTCAGCCTTGAGTTTTATCTATATAATTAGATTAATTTCTGCAGAAATGAAATATTCAGTTTATTACGCTCTGTTACGTATTGTGAAGTATTGATCTCAATAAAGTTAAGTAGGACCAGTTGGAAATAGGCATGTATGAA